TCACAGCTAATCAAAGAATGAACTACTGCAGTGCTTCACAAACTTTCAAAGTTTGTGAACCTGAATTCAATCAATTTTCATCGCGCTCCCATACGATAACAATGTATTGAATTTAATAATAATATACTTTGACGCGCGCAAAAGCTACAATACGACTTTAACCTCTTACATGCCACCGGCGTATATAAATGTCTCGCGCTCTGGCAGTGCTTTAATTGCCCCGGATGTATTTATACGTCTTCTCGAAGTACGATCTTTTCTATGCACTGCTATCCATAAAATTATTCCGAAGGTTTTGGAGTGCAATAAAAGGACATTGGCAGGGTATGCGACGGATTTAGCTTTTTCCCAGAGGATTTGCTTATTTATTCCTTTTCTACTCCCCCCCCCATACTCTACATGCACTCGCCTATGTGTTAAAAAACGGTGAGATTGGGGAGCGAATCGCGTAATTTTTATTTGGTATTTAAGGGATTCATTATAAACCGTACAAATTATCAAGATATGTGCTAATTTTTGTATATAGTTTTGATATGAAAAGACCTTGGGGTCACTGGTAATTATTAAACTTGTTCTTAGTATAAGATAGTTAACTTAGTATTTTCTTAACTTAGTTTCTAAATTCATTGTAAAATACATTGCGCAGTACTGATGGATTTATAAGTGTATTACATCATTGTAAATATGTATTTATTTTTTATTATGTCAGAATATATTTTATTTGCTCATTTTTGAGTAAATTAATAATTTTTTAAAAATAATCTTTTGTTTTCAACTTCCCAATAAACTCCCGCCCCCTCGTACAGTTATCACGTTCCCCCTAGGCGGCACGCCCCACAGTTTGAGGAACCCTGATCTACTGCGTAAATCCATTGCACACAATTAGCTTCTGGCATCTGTTGGAAACTTTAGTAACTGCCAGGAACCTCTGCGATGGTTCAGAGAATGTACTGTCTAGCATCAATTTCTGAGGCATTCAAACAAGTGGTACGTTTTATATACCACCACACAATACACGAAAAAGAATTGGTGGTACAACATACGTACCACTAATCATGAAAGAGTTAATTGTTAGGTAATGTATTTAGTTTAATGAGACCATAGAGAGTAAATCTGGGCAAGGGCGTCCAAGATTTACGTCGACCAAAGTTGATCAAAATTATGCCAAAAGAAAGTTGAACAGAAATGTAACAGCTTCATGCCTCATGAGTATCATGAGGATACAGGATCACAAGTTCCAAGGAGTATTGTTAACAGACGGTTTTATAAGAGATAAACTCTGTTTTTATGAAGAACTATTGTTAGAGTTCAGCTCATGGGGCTGATTGCGCATAAGAGACACCATTTTTTATGGTACAGAGGACATCGACATTGGAATGCAGTTATGTAGAGTCCATTCTGTGCTCTAACGAGACTAAATTTATTCGTATTTAGGCTACTCTTGGAATGGTAATTGCTATTACCTTTTCCCTCTGGGACTATTTCAGTACCTGAAAACAAAGTAGCTAAAAGAAAGGAATCGACTTGTATCCTACATGCATTCTTTCCACCAAATAAATAAAATAGGCTCTTTAAATAAAGTGACTATTATATGTAAACAATTGCTTATCACAAATGTCAGAATAAAATTTTGTGCCATAAAAGAAGTTTAACAACTTCATTACATCATAGTGAGCTGTCTAGATCTAGGCAAATAATCTAGCCTTGTATACTATTTTTCCCCATGAAATTTTTTATTTGAATGTTTGGGACTTTTTTCAAGAAAAATAGCATCAACTAATTGCCAAAATTAATTAATAAACTTTAATGATTAAAAGAAAACAACAACAATAATAATGAAGCGGAATTGCCTTAAAAATAAAGCATCCTGAATTTTTGTTTTAAAATAATAAACAAGATAAATATTTATATTGAGAAATATTCTAGAAGAAAAATTCACCTCATCGTTAAAAAACTATGTAACTAACAAGAACGTTTCACTGCATTCAGAAATAACCGTAAAATAAGAATAGACAAATATACAAGAAACTGTAATTTCTCAAAATCAAAAGAATTTAATAAAATATAAATGTGTTCGTTATAGTATCATCATTGTCAAAAGGCTTATCTTCTTCACTAAAAGAGTATCAAAAGGAATGATTCTTTAATGAGTAAAAAGCACTTAATTTATATAAACGAACATTCTAATGCACATTTTGCCGTTATAACAAATAAAATGATACAAGAAAATAAACTTTCAAATAAATATTTGGAATAATACGAACGCAAACTAATAAAATCATTAAATATGAAATATAAGAAAACAAAAGATGAAAAATACTTAAGTAAAAAAGACCGCTACACTTGCGTTACCAACTCGCAAAAGTGAAAATTGTCTGTATATAGAACCGTGATAAAAAAAAACTAGTAGACATAAGAATCATAAATGAAAAGATTATGAAATATGCAGGTTCTTTATCAACAATTCTTCAACCAATTACACCTCTTCGTAAAAGATGCCAGTCTTATAGACACAGAAACTCCATCTTGTCAGTACGTTTCACGCAGACTTTTTTTTTCCCCACAATTAATTTATTAGAAAATCAAATAAACGGCGAGCTAGTGTTGCCTTTTTGAGGAATATTTTAACAATAGGCTTGATAAATAGAATATCATAGAGGAGAAATTCACTGAGTGTTCTGAAAAATATCTCTCTTGATATGTGTAGAATACATTCAAATGACAGATACGGTTCTTGCTTTGAACGAAGGAATAGGATTGCTTTAAAAATATTTTGCTATAAAATAATAAAAAATAAATAAAAACGATCAAATGCATTAAAAATTTTAAAAAACTGAAAAAACTTTTTGTTGATTAATGCATTTAGTCTATGATTTAATGTCCGTAAAATAAAATTTTATCGTGAAATAATGAATTGAGTGAATTCTGTACATCCTCTATTTAAATTACATTTAAATAGTGCAAAAGTAATAATATTCTAATCAAGTATAAATGACTTTGCATGAATTTGCAATTACAAAAATATTAGTTTTGAAAAGAAAATTTCATTTTACCAGAGAATACACACTCATACAAGAAATCCAATTAGATAGTCCTTAATGTAAAAAAAATCACTGAACTCTCTCTCTCTCTCTCTTATAACTTAAATAACAAATATTTCATAGGAAGTTTATTTGCATCGACTTCTGTTTCAAAAAATGTTGAAGAAATTTATTAATCAATTGCAGTAACAAAATTTCAATGATTTTGCACACAAAAAAAAAAAAAAAATTAACGGATAAACAAAAAATTTATATAAAAAAATAAATGTTCTTTTCTTTCAAATGGGGCTGTGGATTGGTAATTACAATTGCAGATCTAGTTCATTTCCCGGGAGCTAGTATTAATTTTTAGTGTGGCATCATATAGGTGGATATTAATTGCCATAATGTAATTTTGACGCCCAGCTTCCTCCCCAGAGGGAGGCGCCTTTCTGACGATGATAAATCGTATTAGAGGAATTTAATTTTGCCGAGAACACTCAAGTCAAATAGGTATTTTAGTGATCTTTAACATGTCGTTTAATTGTACAACATGGACGCTGTCGATTTTTTGCATCATGAAGAGCCATCGACTTAGACTGCAGCTGAACTGGCAAACAAGGTCAGTGCCAAACCAGCAAAATAAATTTACCTGCTAATATAAGATGCTAAGAACAAAACTAAAATCCTTTAAAAAATTTCAATAATAATTAATTGAGTTTTAAAAATAAAGTGAAGTATTTATTTCCTTTAGAAAATTTCGTGAATTGCATACCAAGAGTTTTTTAATGTGTAAATAATGCAAGAAGCTACTTTTCAAGAACGAAAGTATGAAAAAATTTGTTTAATATACTTTAATTCTTTGCTAAAATGTTAAAAAAAAGTGAAGTTATTGTTAAAGCATTCTCTAATTTCCTAATAACGATAAAAGTAAACCTTTGTTAAATAATTTTTTTAAATTTTCAGTACAAATATTTCTTTAACTTTATTTCATTTAAATAAACGGCAAAATGCAAAAAGTGTTCATCAAATATTAAACCAGTAAGAAGAAATGAACTTTAAGAATTTTACAGTAAGAAAATGGCTCTCACATTTCATTTAATGAAGCGTACGATCATTATCTGTTTATTATCATAGCCTTCTTAGTATACGCATAGAAGGAAAAAAAATTACTTCTAATTATAGCATTATTTTTTCTCTTTCAAATTATATAAATTAAATGTAATTAAACTCGAGTATGAATACCCATATTGATAAACATTATCGAAACACATTCGGGACTCATTAAAAAACTAATTAAAAATCTAATTAATTCAAAGCTTCTGACACGGACACGCTAGAGCAGTAGGAGAAAAGCAAACTAATGTCAATATCGGTACAAGAGGAATTGATAAGAACCCCGTCGTAGAACACGTTACCCTACTCGTTTCCTTAGCAGCAGCGGTTCTTAATTTTCGGTCGCCGTGGTCCCCTATGTGTATCAGCCTGAAATCGCGGCCTCCCCCCCCCCTAAAAAACTTTTGGACACACCTTCCTGACTTCTAACACATGGCTGAGTGATTTAAAGCAGTGATATTCAACCCGTGGGCCGCATATGGCCCACTGGTCTTTTCTAAGTGGCCCGGTCGTGACCCACTAAGAAATTCAGTTACTGGAGAACAATGTACTAACAAGTAGTATAAAAAATATTTTTTAAGTCAATTCCTACTTAGGCCAACAAAGAAAAATTTTATTTCAGTTACTTTTTATTAAATAGCTACAATTAATATAAATATGTATATACAAATGACACAGAATCACAATATTAAGTGACAAAATAGAAAGCGAATTTTCCATTTTCTTTTCTATATATGTTGTTGGGCTATTTTGTGTGTGTGTGTGTGTGTGTGTGTTTGTTACTATTTATTAATTTTTTAATTTAATTATTCTAGTAAAATAGTGTAGTAAAAAAGGAAATCACGATCTCAGAAATTAGACCATTTGAGGTGGGATTCGAACCCAAGACCTTTGGATTAGAAGCCCAACGCGCTACCTATTGCGCTAAAGCAGTGATTCCCAAAGTGGTCTATATAACCCTCAGGGTCTATGACGATCTGCAAGGGGTCCACGACGGCAAAAAGATAATTTGGGGGTCCATGAAGTGTAAATGGGGGTCTACAATAGTGGCTCTCATTAAACCATATCGTGATTAATACTAAAAGGAAATTTAATTCTTCCGATTGAGAAGGAGTTTCAGTGCGCTTGCCAATCTCCAAAACAAAAACAAGAAAATACTGAACACTATTACTTGAGGAGATATTTAGGGTTAAAACCTGATAAGAGATTGATGCCAAAGGTTGAAAATTTGTTTTTGCATCCCCAGATTCATCCTTCCCATTAAAAACATTTGTTTGTTACCCAGTTATTTTATGTAACAGTTATTTTATGCATTCATTAAATTTTAATTTAATTAACTGAGTAATTAAATTTAATAGCATGAGTTTTCTTAAGTTTTAAACTCTTCTATACTTCACTATATTTCACTACAGTTAAAAATTTTAATCTTTTAAAGTAAAAAAGCTCTATACCTGCTGTCAAAAACACATTTAAGTTGATAAATTTACACAAATTTAATATTAGGTAAGTAGGGGGTCTACCCCAAGCTGAAAAACCTGTCAGGGGGTCTATGAGGCTAAAAAGATTGGGAACCTATGCGCTAAAGGAACACAACGAACGATTTTCCTTTCTATATATGCTGTTGGACTATTATTTTTGTTTGTTACTATTTATTTATTTTTTAATTTAAATAATGAATTAATATTTGAACAAGATTATACTTAAATATTTGTATATGGAGACAGTAAACTAATAGTAGGAATTAAAAAAGAGCATGATTTGTCTGCCTCCTTGAAACAAAGCACATCCGGTTTGGCTAGTTTGGCTGAAAAACCGGTTTTCGAAGCAAACTTTTGTTATTGTTTTAGCAGTTACATTGTGGCAACAATGGAGACAAATCTAAGTTGGCGTCGAAAGCTGGTAGTTATTTTAATTGATTAATTGGTAATTAATGAATTAATCTTTAAAAATACTGTATTAACATCGAGTGTCATCCACTACAAGTTCAAAAAATTTATTTGAACTTGATCGGATGAATAGAAAGTATTTTATTAACGATTGAAAATTTGAACAAGATAAATATATATATAAATAAATATAGTAGGAATTGAAAAATGTAGCAGGGAATTCTGTTAATCAAGCAATCAAATGTATCAATTTTGCAATCAATTTGTTTTTTTTAATAGTGAAATGTTAGTTAGAGGCTTGGTTATAAATTAAAGGAAATAGAAATTATCTCATAACTCAATAAAAAATTCAAAAAAAATTTTTTTTGTGTTTTATAGAAAAGTTCATATGGTATTAAAAAAAAGACAAAAATAAGTTTTAATATTTTGATCACACACAATTTTTTTTTCAATGCTGCTTTGGTTTTATAGCATGTTTTTTCCACTATCCGCATGTTGCGGCCCACATGAAATAACTGTCATGTGTATGCGAACCGCGTGAAATACCTACCATGTCTTTGCAGCCCGGCGGGGAAAAAAGGTTGAGTACCCCTGATTTAAAGGCTTTTCAACTATCCTAAAACTACCTATGCTATATATACAGACTTTTTAAACACTTCTTATATATCTCTCTCTCTCTTTTAGAAAACATCCAACATTCAATAATATTTGTTCATAAAAAATATTACAAAATTTTAGTTTCAAATAAATGAATAATGAAGGTCAAATAAATAAACAATACAATCGCAATTCGATTGGAAATCGAGATGGATCTAATCGTTATCGTATTAGCGCTCTATGTGATTCAGTTCTTAATTTTTGCACATGTGTTTCTACTGTATATTTTTTTAAAATATTACGTCTTAGTAATGGCTATGTAGTTGCAAAAAAAACTAAATTAATATTGTTGATCAAAAAACATGTTCTGGTGACTATTTTTATGGGGCCGATTCATCACTAGAGGGCGCTGCGATAGTTTGACCATCATTACGTGATATTTAACGCGCGATCAAGTAAACAATAACAGCTGATCATAGTACACTTGTGGTTGTGCGTTAAACTTTCGAATTTGCTTACTTTCAAATTTAGAATTCTTTACATTTTTAGAACTCTAAATATTTTTAATACATTTTCTAGTCTTTTGCTTTTCGTATAGTAATTAAATATATACATAGTTTCAGTTAACAGTATTAGTAAGCTTAGTTTATACTTCTGTTCTTTGACTTAGTGTCTTGTGTTTTTGTATACTTTTAAGCTAAGTTTGTCAGCCACATTGTGTTTTAAAAAATTATGGATCATTCATTTGAACAAAATCCTGAAAACTTAAGAATTAAGTTTTAAAGTGTAGAACAGGGGGGCGGGGAGACTTGGTGATGTCAATTATTTTGACGACTGGTATCGATAGCCAAGGAACATAATTTAGCGATAGGGGCTCCGAGAATTGACGAATTGTAATTTTGCAATAAAAATAGACATATTAATGTGAAGGAATAATAATTATCAAGGCTAATATTCTATAGATGCGAGATACTTCAAGAACTTGATATGGACTTTTGAAAATGTAACCTGCTTGATCGGGAATGTGAAAAATAAAATATAATTCAATTTTCAGTTCTTTAAAAGTCACACAACTGAGGATTCTTTCATGAAGGCTGATCCAATGTTAAGAATTGGCAAATTTATAAATTTACTTCAGTCGAACTTTATTTTTATTTATTCAGACTTTCATGTTAAATTTTTTTAAAGTTTCTTCATACTTATCAAGGCTTTAATCTAAGAAAATAATGGGAGAAATTATTTATAGTAAACTTATTTTAAATTTCTTAAAGAAAAATACTTCTATTTATTATTTTCTTATCAGAATCCTTGCATTTTAATTCTAAACATGAAATAACTATTTTGTGTCCACATATTTTTTTGTATTTTAAATCATCGATGAGTTAGACTAATCAGTTTTGGTTCTGCCCCTGTTAAATCGTTACACGCAAAATTCTAAATAATATATAATCAATTAGCACGACAAAATATATTGTCATAATGTACCATTGAAACTCAAGTTTTGGCTGTTAACTAGCAACTGATCAGACATATATTTGCAAATAATAGCTTTAAGTAAATTGAAACAAAAATGTGGTGAGAATCTTAACGATTTCTTTTCAAAGAATCTAAAGTAACAAAAGTATGCGATTCTAACCAAAAAAAACTTCCCAAGAAAATACTCGCAAACTGAGTTGCAATGAACCCAAAAGAAAGATAAAACAAAGAAATAAAAACAGAGAGTTAGAAACAAAAACATTTCCTGAAGTAAAAAAATCTAAAACACGAATAGGCAATAGCCAAATGGAAAGAAAAAGTGTGGGCAAAATACTTGGAGCTGATGTATAATTCGATCAGTACAAAAGAAGAGATGGTGGTAAGACAATCCCCTCTATTTTGCTGATAGAATATCCCTTGTTCTTCATTGCAGTCTGTTGTCGCCATCCATTTGTTGAATACTTCTTTCATACATGGTGCTCAATATAATAATCCGAACTTTTTCAGCTTTGTGCAAGCGACTGGAATGGTCACCATCGGTTGTTTTGACCAATCGCGATTGTTTTTCTGTGGAAGAATGGTTGGTTCTACCATGAAGAGAGGCGGAGTTATACGTCGACAGATCTATATAAAAAGCTTCGTAGACACACAAAATATATTTTAGCGTTAATGAAATTAATATACCCTTTGAAATAGATATGTAAATAGGTAAGCAAACAAAAACGTAAAAGAGATAATATGTATGAGTAAATTTTCGTTTTGTAAAAACTTTAATTCTTCATTGAGTAGATCAGTATATATAATCAAAATAAATAATTTAACAAGAAATATTTAATTTTTGAATAAGCTATATTTATTTTAAATAAGTGAAATAAAATAATGTGTTACCTTTTTATGTATTTAATAAAATGTAATATAACAAATTGCTTCAATGTTATGATGGGCAAGTGTATTTTGTTGTTTAATTGCTTGAAAAATTTATCAATATTTTGATAATCGAACGGTCAGTTATATTAGTTTCTGGTGACTCAAGAAGATGTATCATTTTACTGTTAAATTATTTCATAAAAAAAATGCCAAATAAACCAAGATGTGTGGTAAAGTATATATTTACCAATAACTGGAAAAATATTATGATTCATCGCTGCGAGTTATTTAGTGATGTCTTAAAATTTATCGGGGATAGTGGCGTAATGTAGGGGAGACCGGGGCAAGATGACTAATGTCTTAATTTTTCCGTATTCCACTAGGTAGCAGCATCAAATGAACACTACTGGCTCTCCCTTTGGCCTTTCGTTAAACTATAGTATAGACACGCTGAAATCGCCCTTTTTGTGTTAGTTGTGAAGCTTTGATTGTTTTTTGATGCCACGGTATAACTTTTATGCATGTGTAAATAAGCTCTGCTACAGATACAGGTAATATATAACGTTTCCCTTTAATATTTGTGAGTAACTTGGTTTAAATACTACCTATTACCATGAATAAATGTCAATTAATTGCCTTCCTTCATGGTAATGAGAGCGAATATTTTTAAAAAGACAGTCTGGGGCAAGATGACAATCCGAAACACGGGGCAAGATGACGAGCTCGACATCTTGCCCCGTGTTTCGGAATTTATTAAACTTACTATTGTTGTCGATTCTATTAAATCCTGTGAACACTTGTTAGTCTGTGTGTATGTCCGAGTGACCTTGTGCTTCCATCTCATTTGGGGCTAAGAGGTGCATCGGATCGGGAAAGGTTTCATTCGAAAGGGGGTGAACAGAGGAAGACATTTTTACCATCCGCTAAGCCCTTAAAGAGGAAGGAATGTAGAAATATATATATATATATATATATATATAATTTGTTGCTTTGGAGCTACTGGCTTTTATATGTTTTCTGATTTTTTGCGAGAAAACAATGCTATATGAACTTGTAGAAAGAGCCCCACCAGGGACTGCAGGCAACTGTAGTGATAAGGGCT